TGGGGGGTGGGGGGCGGTGGGCGTGGGGGGGGGAAAAAGTGTCAACTGAAGGTTTGATTTGATAGAACGTCCACTGTTTTCTTCTTTTCTTCTTTTGACGCTGTCATCTTCAGACTTCAAATCAAACCAGAGACAGAGGTTTGTTTTCAACATGAACCTTCATTTAGTTTATGGTTTTGTCTGGAAACACAGGTTAAGTTACAGCTTCACACAGACACACTGAGGTTTGAGGGTTCTCCTCCGGGTTCTTCTCCCGTCGTCCATGTGATGGCGCCTCTTCATTCACTCAAACATCTGACCAGCTCTCTTCTCTCTCAGCTTCATTTCCTGTCCCTCCTGGCTGTTAAGGATCACGTCAGACTCAGGTCTTGGATGGTCTGAAGAAGGTCTGATCTTCACTCACCTTCTGCTCCTCTGGACCTCCGTCCATCAGGAGGCTTTGCACCGAGGAATCTTCTTCAGAAGACATTATGTGAGAGTGGATGTTCCTGGTCTATGGAGCTCTTCTCCAAGAATAAAACAAACATCTCCCCATGATTCACAGAAGAACGTTCTTCACTCTCTGATCCAGGAATGGAGACGGCTTCTTCTCCTTCTTCTTCTTCTTTTCCTTCTTTTTCTTCTTCTTCTCCTTCTACTCCTTCTTCTTCTTCTTCTTTTTCTTTTCCTTCTTCTTCTTCTCCTTCTACTCCTTCTTCTTCTTTTTCTCCTCCTTCTTTTTCTTCTTTTTCTTCTTCTTCTCCTTCTTCTTCTTCTTGGGTTCACACCCTGACTCAGCTGTTCTGGAGAAGCTTACCTTCTGAGATCTCGTTGCGTTCCTCCGTGACGCTGCCTTCCTGTCTTCTCTGAGGTTGGACCACCTCCACCACCGACCTCTGAGCTGAAAGACAGTTTCCGTAGCAGTTCACTCAGAATGACCTTTGACCTACTAAACCACAGTTCATTCAGTTAGTTTTTAACAACATTTGCCGAGGGCCTGCTACCTTCATGTTTGGCCACCAGGGGTCTGCTCTCTCGTCCTCCGCTCACTGCTATGATTTTGAACTCGTATTCTTTAGAAGGATCAAACTGCTGGATGACGAGAGTCGTTTCTGTTTTTGGTAGCTGGACCTCCGTCCACCGGTCACCTGTCGAGGGACAAGGAGGAACCAATCACCAGTCTGGGGCGTGTCCTAATGTCAGCAGATGTTATTCATGAACAAGCGACAACCGCCTCTGATCCACCGACTGTTCTCCTGACTCCTCTCACCTGGACGTGTGCTGTAAATGACTTTGTAACTTTCAAACTCTCCTTTGGGTTCTTTCCACGTCACCAGCAGCGTGGACGAACTTATGGCTTTGGCCCGAAACCTTCGAGGTGAAGACACTGAGCAAAGACAGGAGAATGAGACAACGTTAGCTGCTGCGGTGACGGCTTCTGTACGTGTATTAATGTGAGAACGTAGAAGACAAATCACACGGTCCATGTCATGCACCACACTTCAACTGCAAACACTGGTCAACGGTCAGGACTGAGTGTGTGATCATGTGATGTTCTTACACCGTTAGTGACAGACAAGTGACTGCAAACAATGGCTGCCAACAAAGACAGAGGAAAAAAAAGAGATTTTAGCCCATCACTATGGACTTTTGTCTGAACTAAAATCTCTGATTTTCCCCATGGACTTTGGTCTGAACTAAAAGCTCTGAATTTCACCATGGAATTTGGTCTGAACTAAAAGCTCTGAATTTCACCATGGAATTTGGTCTGAACTAAAATCTCAGATTTTCTCCATGGACTTTGGTCTGAACTAAATTCTCTGATTTTCTCTATGGACTTTGGTCTGAACTAAAATCTCTGATTTTCCCCATGGACTTTGGTCTGAACTAAAATCTCAGATTTTCTCCATGGACTTTGGTCTGAACTAAAAGCTCTGAATTTCACCATGGAATTTGGTCTGAACTAAAAGCTCTGAATTTCACCATGGAATTTGGTCTGAACTAAAATCGTTGATTTTCTCCATGGACTTTGGTCTGAACTAAAAGCTCTGAATTTCACCATGGAATTTGGTCTGAACTAAAAGCTCTGAATTTCACCATGGAATTTGGTCTGAACTAAAATCGTTGATTTTCTCCATGGACTTTGGTCTGAACTAAATTCTCTGATTTTCTCTATGGACTTTGGTGTGATGTGGCAGAGTGAGTGTTAATAGCATGTGTGACTGTGAAGTGAATATAAAGTACTAGAGTATTTGTTGACTGGCTGCAGTATTTTCTGTAACTGATGATGAAGCATCACATTCATCCACACTTGAATCCAAAAAGCCAGATTTTTCCCTTTCGGATCAGAAGAACCTCCGTCATGGTGAACACAGGCTGTAGGGCGAGGTGGGGCGGGGGTGACGGGGTGCAGCCATAACAGTGGGGTGAGTTCAGCCCTGTAAAACAGTTCCATGATAATTCCCACAAAGTGCTGATGTTCCAACTTTTGACTGACGTGTGTTATCCCAAGCAGATGTTTGACATTCCTCAGCATTAACACAAATCATATGTCCGTTGTAAATTGTCTGTAAATGACTGAATGTTCTGGTGGAACATCAGAGCTGGAGAACCCCGCAGGAGGAGGCGCTCCACTCCTTCTCAGTTACTGTAGTATCAGACTGAACTCCCTCCACAGTTACGGCACCGTCCACCCCTGACTCCATCTGACCTTGAAAACTGTCTGATGGAGGCAGGAGGAACGGTCACATGATCAGATCGCAAACGTTAAAAACCAGAGTCAACTGTTCTCATCCTCATGCTCTTCCCACTCTCCGGGTTAAAGGGACAATTCACACCATCTAACATCTGAGCTAAGACTGGCAACTGAGAAATGGACAGTTTCAGATTGTCCTCCTGCTAGAACATGAAAACACGGCTGTTTCTAACAGTAAACTGAAGTTTGTAATCCACTCACTCTGCCACACCAATCCTCATGGAGAAAATCAGTGATTTTAGTTCAGACCAAAGTCCATGGAGAAAATCAGAGATTTTAGTTCAGACCAAAGTCCATGGAGAAAATCAGAGATTTTAGTTCAGACCAAAGTCCATGGAGAAAATCAGAGATTTTAGTTCAGACCAAAGTCCATGGAGAAAATCAGAGATTTTAGTTCAGACCAAAGTCCATGGAGAAAATCAGAGATTTTAGTTCAGACCAAAGTCCATGGAGAAAATCAGAGATTTTAGTTCAGACCAAAGTCCATGGAGAAAATCAGAGATTTTAGTTCAGACCAAAGTCCATGGAGAAAATCAGAGATTTTAGTTCAGACCAAAGTCCATGGAGAAAATCAGAGATTTTAGTTCAGACCAAAGTCCATGGAGAAAATCAGAGATTTTAGTTCAGACCAAAGTCCATGGAGAAAATCAGAGATTTTAGTTCTCACCAGCAGGGAAGGGAACACTGCTGTGTCTCTGTCTCTAAAATGACTGTTGTTCTTGATGTGGCGTAGTGAGTGATTGACAGACTTTAATTTCCTGCACATTCTGCACAGTGGAAACAACCGTAACGATGGAAGGTGACAATGAGGATGAGGAAGAGGAAGAGGAAGAGAAGAAGACGTACCTCTGTCTTTTAACTGCCGACATAGGAGACCACAGAGGAAGTCACAGGAATAGCACCGTCCACTATTCCTCTCCTGACCAGAGTTCAGGAGTTTCACATGTTCTACCATCACACACACACACACACACCCACACACACACTGAGCCAACAATCCAAACACACTGGTCTGGCCGTCTGTGTTGTGAGAGTCAACAACGCTGGTCGTCATATTTCACCCAGCTTCTGTGCTGCAGTGTTGGTGGTGGTGTTGTTGTTGTTTTGTTTAAAAACACTGGAGCGGGGCCACAGCAACGCACGGCCGCGCCAACAGCCACAAGTCCAGGCTCCACAACAACCATGGCCGAGGCAGCCCTTCATTTTCTCAAACACACACACACACACACACACACTGCATCAAAGCCAGATCCCACATGGTAAAAAGTCACCTTCATCATCATCATCATCACCTTCATCATCATCATGTGTGGTGTGTGTGATCTCATTTATCTGAAGCTGTGAAAAATGACAAAGAGAAGCCACCAAAACAACAAACACCAGCCTGTGTGTGTGTGTGTGTGTGTGTGGTGTGTGTGTGTGTGTGTGAGGTCAGCCATGTAGCACCAACCGCTTCTTTAAATACCTACACCGGCCCCGACCTGTGGCAGATCTCTGATGTCATGTCATGTGATCTAGAACTTCCAGCTGGTCTGGACTAACAGTTCACCAACATGAAGAACACCAGAACAGGAACCAGAACCGGCCCACACACCCAGAACCTCAGCTGACCTGATGAACTCGTGTTGTCCAAGGAGCTGAACGCCCCGTTAGCCTGGGTTAGCACCGCGGCTGTGTCTGATACGGTTCTTCACCGCGGCTGTGACAGTTTGGTCTTTAACTGATCTGGTGTGAGCTCGTCGGCGTGTGGGTGTAGGTAAGTAAAGAACACCCAGAACAGTCCTTCAGCAGCAGGCAGGAAAAACACACACAAGGAGAAGGGAAGCAAACATCTCACCAACCTCTGAGGTTCTCCGCTCCACGGCTTTGTCTCCATGCGGTGGGGTCAAAGGTCAGAGCGCCTCAAAAATCCCACGGAATTCCACTTGACGCGGTGTTGGCGCGCCGTGGTGTTTTTTGCGTCGCTGAGTGATGAGCTTTATTTCAGTGTTTGACTGACCTGAGGTCAGTGGATCTGGACTGACTCTGGTCTGGTGAAGATGTTTCTCCTCTTCTCCAGGTCCACCGGACTCTGAAGAAGACTGTTGGATGAAGAGGAGAAACACCTTCAGTCCTGTCCTAAATGTCAGGACTACGGACCAGAGTGAGTTCCAGGTACCGATGGAAACCGGAGTTCAAAGAACCTGAACGTTTTATCAGACTTTAGTGGATGTTAGAAATGGTTTTCCTGGTTCCTCGGACAGTGAGAGTGTGGAACAGGAGGAACCGACCTGAGTTACTGCAGCCTGAGGTCCTGTTTCATGATCAGTAAAGAACCAACGTGACTCAAGGAAAAACCCACGGGCGTCTCCTCGTGACCAGGAAACTGACTCTGCTGAAGCTCCGCCCCTTTGTCTGTCTTTACAGGAACACAGAACTCTACAGACTGATCACCTTCGTCACCTTCATCATCATCATCATCAGACGTTCTCTCCGTGTGTCAACATGTTCCCATCCTCCAGTCAAAGATCTTGTCTTTGGAGAAGAACCTTCACATCGGTTCATCGTTAAGGCCATGGCAACGGTTCCAAGTTCTGAACAAACATTTTTGTGACTGACATACAGTAAATAACCAAGGACTACGAACGTTTAAAGACATTTTTCAGCCCACAGTGGAACTGGAACCCTGCCCTGTGCCTGGCAGCAGGCTGCAGGCACGATTCCACAGCAGGAACCGTTACCAGGACTGGAGGAAAGTACCGAACTCACTACAACCCACTTGACTCAGCACTTTAGAACACAGAAGAACAGAGACCACAAACCAGTGGAGAATGGAACCAGTAGGTGGCAGTAATGACACCCACAGGGTTTAGATCTGTTGTTAAAGACCGAGGAAGAACATCGTCTAACTTAGTCTGACTCTTAAATATATATTTATATACACACATATATAATATTATATATATATATATCTACAAATATATCATTATATATGTACATAAATATATTGTTATATACTGTATATGTGTATTCAAAGGCGACAGAAACCCTGCAGTTCTCCCACTAACCACTGGGTGAAGATCGTTTAAAGAGTGGGAGTAAAAATAAACTCCAGACACGTTTGAAGTGTTAAATACAGGGTTGTGTTGGACCAAACGTTCAGCAACAAAGAGAAAGAAACTTTGAGAGCCCTGAGGTTCTGGAACGTTCCTGCAGTGGAAACCACACGGTCCCTGGTTCCAGTTCTGTGTGGTGCTGCTGCAGGTGGAACACTCAGGCCCCGTGTCTGAAGCGCCAAGTGGAAACTACCCCCCCCAGGTGGTGGTGATGGAGAAGGCACTTACCTTGACCCTTCACTGACTGGGAGGACAGAGAGACCAGAACCAGAACCAGCAGGAAGTGACTGGATCTGAGTGAGAGCTGCATCCTGACAGGAGACGAGGAGAACCAGCTGTACCTGCAGGAGAGGAGGTCAAAGTTCAACTGTGGTCCAGTCATGACTCACTTCCTGTCAGGTCTTATCTGGACCTCAACCAAACCAGAAATACAACAAAGACCTCAGACCTGGTCCAGGCCAAAGACACTGGGGTTAGAAAGTGACGATGACGATGATGACGATGAAGTCAAAATGTTAATAAAATACTTCTGGTCAGAGGCTTTGTCATTAATTCATCATTATTGATCATTTTTTTATCCAAAATCAAATTTGAACAGAACAAACAGTTTTAATATAAATCAAAGTAACGTTGTTCTGTAGTACTCACTCACAGAGTAGTACTCACTCACAGAGTAGTACTCACTCACGGAGTAGTTCAGACACAGTACAAGTAATCCCTCATTAGGTGTGTGTGTGCAGGAGCCGTGCACAAAAGTAAGTGTGTGAAGTCAAGTACGTGGTACTTCAGTATTTTCTGTTTATGATACTTCATCCATGCACAGAGTACAAAAATAAAAAAAGAAAAATATTGAAGTAATTCTTACCTGCTCAGACCATAGGTCTGACTTTTGAACAATCCTCCTCTGCACAGATGTCTGAGCTGCTGCTGCTGCTGCTGCTGCTGCTGCTCTGAGGCTCCAGCACAACCTACTCTGAACAACAGCACACACACACACACACACACGTGCACGCAAAAACACACAATCACACTCACTCCACTGCCGGTGAAATCATTTCAAAACAAAAGACAACAGAAATTAAAATGATAGATGTAATTATATTTTAATGTTTATTATACATTATATTCCTTATATTCTACATTATATTCTAATGTAAGGATCGTGCTGTACTGCGTCAGACAGTACGGTGTACACAACATATAATGTATAAAATAAGATTTTCAGTTTGTATGAGCAAATATATGTTAGAGTTTTCAATGTAGGGAGATCGCGTTAGCCTTTTTTAAAAATTGCTTAAAAGTGTGGACGCTTTATAACGTTTAAACTTAAAAGAAAAGTTAAAACAACTATTTTAGCTGTAAAAGTGAAATGAATACATCTTACAAGAAAATAAATAGAATAATATATTACCATTTTATATTGGTCATTTTCTTGTAGCTCCGATTAGGTTTTTTTTTATTAGTTGATGTTAGCATCGGGAGCTAATGGTAGCGGCGGGAGTCAAAGTCAGCAGCGGGAGCTAACGTTAGCAGCGGGAGCTAACGTTAGCAGCGGGAGCTAACGTTAGCAGTGGGAGCTAACGTTAGCAGTGGGAGCTAACGTTAGCAGCGGGAGCTAACGTTAGCAGCGGGAGCTAACGTTAGCAGCGGGAGCTAACGTTAGCAGCGGGAGCTAACGTTAGCAGCGGGAGCTAACGTTAGCAGTGGGAGCTAACGTTAGCAGCGGGAGCTAACGTTAGCAGCGGGAGCTAACGTAAGCAGCGGGAGCAGAATGTTAGCAGTGATGGAGCCTCTTCGGCTGGAGGTAAACAATCTTTGTCCTCGTCATCCGTCTGTTTGCTGCGCTGCTCCGTTAGCATTAGCACCGGCACACCACGCGGTGTATGAAGCACTACTTTTCCTTAGAAAGTTTACTGTGTGCCTTGGAACATATTCAACGTGCTAAAGTTGGGCCAAATATTTTAACTAAATTCAGACTTCTCTTTGTTGGACTGAATATTACTAATTATTTAATTATTAATAATACTAATTTCCAGTTTATACAACAGATATACAACACTATCTCCAAATTATTTTTGTAGGCATATAAAATATTTTACTTTTTTATTATTTCTCTTTCCCACTCATGGGTATCAGTTAGTTAAGGTTTTTTTGTCAATCACAAACAAGTTAATAATTGTTTCTGGCATCAACATTTCAAAAATTTTAGTTAAATAATATTTAAAATAGCAATGTTTAATATAGACGAGCAGGAAATAATATTGAGTAAACCCTTAACCAGAAAAGATGAGAACAAAGTTAACATGATTAGTAGATTAATACGATTTTAGTACTGAGACATTTGAGCAACTAGCAGAGAACAAATGATTTTATGAAAAATATTTCCTAACATAAGGACAGTGAGAGTTTTTTATATAAAATATTTAATATCAATAGTTACAGGTTATACATTATGTTTGAATATTGACTTGTCACTAAATTTGACACTTTGTTATGAAAACTTTTTACTTTATGATAGTTAGGAAGTTTTAATCTGAAGGCCGCCTCACTTCCTGTCTGGCTGTCACTTCCTGTGTGCAACTTGATTCCCGCTCTTCTTCTGTCTCTGCCCTCAGTTCAGACTTGCACCGACTGATGGGTGTTTCCCCCGCAGCCACTCATTCCTTCTGTCTCATTTAATGTGAGGTGAGGCCGCAAAACAAAAAAGTGTAATTCTGTCCCCGCTGGCTAAGAGCTGTTACTGCTGCTCCACCTGCACGGCTCAGAGTCGAAAAGAAAAGGTGAAAGAAAAGAAGAAGACGGTGAGGAAGAAGGACGAAGACGCTCACGCAGAACTGACGTTCTGAGAAAAATGTTCTCGCAAAAAACATTGTTGAAACTTTTTGCACTAAGTTCTGTCCCCGTTGATGGTTCTCTGATGGTTCTTTGATGGTTCTCTGATGGTTCTTTGATGGTTCTCTGATGGTTCTTTGATGGTTCTCTGATGGTTCTTTGATGGTTCTCTGATGGTTCTTTGATGGTTCTCTGATGGTTCTTTGATGGTTCTTTGGTGGTTCTTTGGTGGTTCTCTGTGATCATCGTGTTTTTATCACTTCTCCTTCTTCTCCTTCTCCACCCAC